AGCTGTTGTTGCTGGCGATGAGCACTCTCGGGCAGGCATTCCCCTGCTGGGGCCGGGGGATGCTCCTGCAGTCACTGGCTGCTGTGGAGCGCATTGTCTGGGACTGTCTCGCAGCTTGTTGGGCTCAGGTCGCTGTCAGGCTCATCTGGGTGTTCGAACCCACCTGACTCTTGGCTGGAGCTGGATGGCTGACAGCAATGCTGTTTCACTGCTGGTTTTGGGGGGTTTGTTTCTCACTGAAACAGACTCGAAACCTGTTGAATGGTTTTGTGAAAATTACTGTTTTGAAACAATGATTTTTGCATGGGAAAGCTCAAGTTTCTGATTCTGGTCTTCTCTCAAATCATAAATGATTCAAGGGTCTCATACGTCAGAAATCTCACTTCTGGAAAGTTTGTCGTAGTCTTTCCCTTCATGAAATACACTGACTTTACTGATGTAGTATGGTATTTTTTTGAGGTGTTCAACCCTTTCTGCTGTTAACCCTGGGAGGACTGGTAATCTAGGATCTAGATGTTGGGTCATGTGCTGGCGATCTCATCCAGATTTGGAGTGCACAGTATGTCACGAAGGAGCAGTGGGTTTCTGGAGTCTCTCCTGCTGTTCTCTGCATAATGTCTTTCTTCAAGAAGCCCTTCAGCTTGCTTAGGACCTCTCATTTCCAAAGCCAAGGTGTTCAGCATGAGTTTGTGGTGGTGTCCACGGGATTTGGATTGGATTGGTCAAGATTGCATCTTGTAGTGAGTGATTGGGTGGTTGTCAGCATAGGTTATGTACTTAGAGGGTGTTTGCAATAGTAATCTGGTTTTGTTACTTCCTGGACGGGCTGGCAGAGAAGGGTTCGATGACTTTGTGTGTTGCATCACCGTGTCATAACCTGTTTTGAATGTTGGGTTTTGTGAGCTGTGGAACACACAGCACAGCTCAGTGGATTCTGGTATCCACTGTGTGTGCTCAGCTGGGTAGTCTTCTGAGTTTCACAAGAGCTTTTCCCAGCCTCTGATGGGAGGGAGGTGGGTGAAGCACCTTCCTTTTTGAATCATCGTGGCTCTGCTGTCCTGGCTTCCTCTCTTGTGCCTTCTCCCAAGAGGGATAGCACGGCAGCAATGCCAGCCAACTCCCAGATGTGGAAGCTGCAAGGCTGGTGGCAGGGGTGGGCTCCTCATCTTTGCAGCTGTGTTGGGAATCCACGTTATCGTCCTGTGGAGAGAGCAGGAGCACGATTCACCAGAAAAAGTCTTCCGGAAATGCGGGGCGGGGGGGGGGGGGTTCAGGTTTCTTCAACTGTCAACTAGCAATTCCCAGACTGCAAATATGTCAGCCCAGTCTCTCCTGCCAGAGCTCACTCCTCTCCCTCTGCTGCTGTTCAGACTGTACTGGAGAAGACTTCCTGAAAGCAGGATGTTGTTTTGTTTCAAGATTTCTTGTCTACTAAGGTCCCAGACTTTGATTAAAGCTGTGACTTTTCAGGTGCAAACACTGTCTGCATTTGGATGTAGCCCTTTGTTCAACAGATACTTGCTGTGCCTTGAAAGCCTCCCTCCCTGCATGAGGTTGGCTGGGTTGTCCCCCTGTGTAATGATGGTGGAATCAAGGCACCCAAAACCCAGGCATCTTGCTTCGGATTGGTGGTAGCCAGGGGCAGAAACCAGGACTGGGAATTAAGTTTGCTATTGTCTTTAAAACTACTAGGCTGGAGTGGGTGTGTTGCTAAATTGCCGAGAAAGACAGATTTCTGTGCAGTCTTCTTTTTGTCATGTTCTTCTCAAGATGTTTTGAATTGTTTGTCTCCTGGTGTCACTGTATCTACTTTCTAGTTAATTATCTCCTGTGGCCCAGATGTATGGCGTGCCTGCTCAAATCTACTTTGAGTCTCAGGGTGTGGGGAAGGAGCTTACAGCAGTCGAGATGCCTGTTGTCACGCTGTGGCCAGACAGATAAGAGGCTGAGGCGGATCCCTGCTATCCATCTGCGACAGAATCCAGCTGTTGCTACTCCTGAAAGCAGGGCACACAATCTTCAGGCAGCTGCTTCTGGCATTTGTCCCATCAGGAATTGTGAGGCAAGTGTTCTCCCTCTGAGTGGTCACTAGAAGAGGAAGGTTTTCCAAAGTTTAGCCAGGTCCCTCTGTCAGCCCCGGGTAGCTTTCCATCCTGCTTCAGGCAAGGTTTTGAATGACTTGCCTGGAGCAGCAGCCTAATCCAAAATAAAGAAAGAAGGTAGGTGCCCCCCAAGTGTTACGTTCTGGAGGAACCTCACAGCTGATGAGGCTCATCCACACTGCAGGCAGTGCCTGAATGTTTTATCATGGCAACTGCCAGGTCCTTCTGGATCGAGGTGTGTGTTCCATGCAGTCTCACCTGAGAACCAGGGGGACAGGAGGTGTCTCTCTGGACTCTGCAGGTGTCGGCTTTTCAGGGCCCCAAACTTCTTCCTCCCTCCCTGAAGTATTCACCATGGTGGGCTTTGCTAGGGGTGTGCTGCAGTGCTGCTGAGCATTCACATTTTCAGTGAAGCATTTTGGGATCTGTTACAAACACAATATCATGCCTGTGCAGATGTGCCACAGGCAGACCTGGATCTCCCAAGCTTCTGTTGAAATGGAAGCACGTCCTCAGCGGGTGCAGCCGCACAATGCCATCATCAGTGGCTTTGTGACCCTCGGGACTGTGGTGCAGAGTGTTGCAGGGATTGTGAGTGCAGCAAAGCAGAGGTGGGGGAGGGCCTCTGGGCCACCAGCGGCAGGAGCTGCTGCAGGGCTTGCTTTCTGGAATGCTGTCTGGCAGCAGCCTCTTCCAGTGGGGCTGAAGGCTCCCTGTGGCTGGCCAGCCAGCGACTGCAGGCAGCGTGTGTGCTTAATGCTGCAGCTTGTGCCATAAGGACCTTCTCCTCCTCCCTGCTTGCCCTCTCTGTGTCTCCTTCCCCGCTCAGCTCCCCTCCCCCTGCAAGAGGTTTGACAGAGCAATTGGGCAGGCACTGGGACAGCAGCTCTGACATAAATCTCTCCTGGTGTGGAATGAGGGGTATAAATATCCAGAGAGTGATGTGATCTTTCCAGCTGCTATTAATAGGTCTCTGGAGAACAGGAGCGAGCAAGCGAGACTGGCTGACACTTAAAGGGCTAGCAACTCCCTTATGTGCTGTGAAAATTAATCAGCGCCGTAGCTCTTCCTCCGGGCTAGAGCAGAGCCCTCACCGAGGTGTGTGGGGCGGAGGTGGAGGAGAAGGGAGCAACTAACAACTCCTAGCTGGGAAGCAGTGATAGGCCAAGCTATGCATAACTAAGGAAGAATGCTTGGTTGAGCCGTGCCACATGTTTGCATAGCATGCCATCAGCCCCTGGCTCAGCTTGCAGGGAGGCAGGTGCTGAGGAGACCCTTTCTGCAAGCACAGGACTCCCTCACAGTGCCTGGTGGGCTGCAGCCTGTGCCTTGTGGCGATCACAATCTTTTGTGGATTATGGATCTGCCAAATGTGCTTCACTCTGCTTTCTTTGCAAAGGTGCAGCGATTTGCCCTGGCACAGCAAGCACTTGGCTTTTGCTAGTGGGGTCTCCAGGCTCACCTTTAGCAAGCCAGGAGCAGCATGTGTAGTGCTGCTGAGCTCTTGCGGTACTATCTAGACACCTACGGTTCGGTCTGGAGCTGGTGCTTCCTGTGCCTGGGTGGCAGAAGAAATCTGTGCACAGCATCTGGCCTGCATGGTCCAAATGGGAAGAGCAGACCACAGCAACCCCCTTCCTTGTGTGCTGGGAAGTTTCTCAGCCTGTGCACAGGGAAGCTTCTTGGGTGCATTGTTGGGGTGTCATGCAAAGCATATAGCAGATGTGAGCAAACAGAGGCATACCTCAGCTTCCATGAACATGTGGTTTACTCTCCTTCCCTCCTGCTTCCTCAAGAAGTAAAGACTACTGTGACAGGATTAGGGTTGTGTGTTGGACCAAGGGTTTGTGGTGGCCTTCCAGAACACACAGTGTGATACAGGGCTGCATCCCAGTCATCTCTAGTGCCTGTGCAGAGTTCCAACGGGAATATTCCAGGTGTGAGCATGAGACTCTGCCAAGGCAACTAGATCCTGCAAGGAGGGCTGCTGCAGCATTGCTTAGCTGCATGTATGTCCCTCAGCCCAGAAACCTTTGTGTTCTGCCCTAACCTCCTCTTCTCTGCCAAACTCTGCCTCAGGCTGCGGGACTATTCAGGTAGCTAAGCTGGGTTTTGAGCAGGAAAGCATCATCCAGGTATGTGTCACATTGCATCATTCTGCTGGGCTGGGAGCTCCTGCTAAAGTGGATACCCCCTCACCCAGAGCCTTAAAGCAGGAGCTGGAGCTGTCCCTCTGGCCCCTGGGAGAAGCAGAGCTTGTCTGATGAGTGCCTGCACTTCCCGGCTCTGTCCTTGCCTTGGAGCCCTTCTCTGCCTCCTTCTCGGTTGCCTCAACCTTTGTCCCCTGCTCTGTCCCAGTTTTCCCTTTATAAGCTTGTGTCAAGACTGCCTGCTCAGTTGTCTAGCTGTCTTCTGTGTGTTTTGCAGCACAGAGAAAACTTATTTATCAGCAAAGGGGATTGCTGAAAACAGTAGGGCACTCAATTTCTCTCTAGGGTCACAAAGGTGTCTTTGGGAACACCTGCAAAATAGCTCTGTGCATCCTTCTACTCTCCAAAGGGCCAGACTGGCATGGAGCACCCATTTCTCATCTTAGCCTTGGAAATGAGGGCTCTTATGTCTGTGGCTGTTTCTTGAAGTACTGGCAAGTCTGCCATGCCTGGGTGAGAGTTTACAGCTTGTCATGATGTGAGTGAGTAACTGCAGAGCAGGATTTTTTGCTCAAAGGGGCCAGGGCTAATTCCCAGCATGAGCAGCTCTGGGTTGTGCCTTGCCATGGACTTTGTCTGGCCCTGTGACCAAGTAACAGCCCCAGTGCACTGGTCGTGTGCTGTGCCCCTCAGCACCTGCACCCGTGTGAGGGGCACCGTGCTGACTTTCTGCTCTTTTCTCTTGCAGATTTCTGATTAAAGGGCCTGTGAGCTCCCTCCACTGGCACTGTGGGAAGCTTTAGCCAAGCCAATGCACCCTGACAACAAACTGCCCAGCCATGGCAAGGCAGGCAGCAGCAGTGCCCTGGCCCAGCACCACAATGTGAGCCAAGCACCCACCTGTAACTTGGGCTCAAAGGGTGTGGGGGCAGGCAGCCATGGCAGCAAGGCCACTCAGATTTCCCCTGGCAACTCTGGACTGAAAAACAGCCAGAACACTGTCCCAAACTTCAGCTCCTTGAAGGGCAAGGTGAAGCGGGAACGAAGCATCTCGGTGGACTCCGGAGAACAGCGAGAAGCCAGCACCCCGTCACAGGACACAGAATCAAAAGGTAATGCCCTCCTAGACCTTGCCTCAGCATGTCCTCCTCTCAGTTGCTACAAACATCCTGGCAGGACTTGGGATGGGAGCATCTTTGGTTTCTGTGCTGTGTCTTCTGTTCAGGCTTGTCCTGGCCGCCTATGTGACTTTGCATCACTGCTTGTCACATCTGCAGTTTTTGGACTAGAGTGGCTGAATTCTCATTTGCTTTGCATTTCATTCCCTAAACCATTTGTTACACCCAGAATCTGGCACTGGTTTTCACAGGCTACTGAGGCCATCTAAGCAACAGCACAGTTCACTGAAACAACACCAAATGCCCCTGCATGTGCAATGTGCAAACTTTTAACTTGAGACTGAGTTTTCTATCTTCTTGTTGTTGGTAGAGAGCTGCGTAGTGGTGTTGCAGCTGCCCAACGACTCAGTTAGCAAGGAACTGCTGCAAGGGTCACAGTCTGAACAGTTCTGTGGTTTCATCAGCAATGGATAATTCTTGTGTTACAGCATGTGGCTTCTGGAAAAGGGCTGAGTCAGTGCTTCTAAACCCTTTGCCTACCCTGTCCTCAGCAGCCTTCCCTCTAACCTCTTGCATTCCATCAAACTCTGTGCTCAGTGGCTGTGTGGGATACTTGAGCATCTCACAGACGGTTGTAGGGGGAGAAATTCTGGTTGTGCCCTTGGTTCCAACCAAGACTCACACCCTGAGTGTGAGACGCAGAGCTGCAGTTCTGGCTTGTGCCCCTACGGATTTGTTTTCACAGTCAAAGTCATGTTGCCTGACTGGCTTAGGCCAGACTGTGCCATGGAACAACAGGTAGAATGTACCTGAATGAATTTCCTGGCACTGGGAGGGCTTTCTCCTCGTAGTGTTACAGGGGTAACCATACACTACTGATCATAAGCATTTGCAGTTTTATCCCAGAGCTGTCTTGTAACCACACTTCCACAGGGAAATTATTTAAATGGCCTGATCAGAAATGCCCGAATCTCCTGTGTTCCTAATACACTGACAGATCATGTGAATATGGTCATGATGTAAAAAAGACAATGTAAAAAAAGTAAGGCCAGACAATGTTTTATTAGTTAAAGCACAGGACTGGAAGTTATTCATCCTGTGTCTGATTGCTCTCCCCAAGTCCCTAAGTGCCTTTAGGCAAGCCACTTCCTCTCTGAGCTGCATCAGTCCCATCTGAGAGGGTGGACACGTGGAGGGAGCATACAAGTTTATAAGAGAGCACGAAGGCCCTTGCCTGATTGGTGTCGACAAAGGGCAGAGTCTGTCTCTTGTTCCTACAAAGGATGTGAATGGGCCCTCCCCTCCTTTAATTGCTGAATCACAGACCCTTTAAATTTACGGTTAATGTCCAAAGCTCTCTAGTTTGGAACTGCAGGTAGACACATCCTATGTGCATAGATTCCTTTCAGGTGGTAAGAAATACATCTCGTTCTGAACCTTTGACTCTTACAGGGAAGCCTCACTAGATCTGGCTGCTAAGACAAGGAGCCCAGACTGAGCAGATGCTTCAGGTTCTTAACCAGTGTTGGGCAGATGTTAGCATAAGGCTTACTGCTCAGTGCACCCTGGTTGGGTTGGTGCTGCCAGCACGCAGCACCCAGCTGGGCAGGACCCCAGCCTTTCAGCCCCTTAAGCACCTCTGCTGGCCCTGTCCCTTTGCAGGTGAGGTGGCTCCCCGCAGTAAGCGACGGTGTGTGCTGGAAAGGAAGCAGCCATACAGCGGCGATGAATGGTGCTCTGGGCCGGACAGCGAGGAGGACGACAAACCCATCAGCAGTGCACACAGTGAGTCACTGCCTCCTTACCACTCTGAAGCTTGAATAAAGCCAGGTCCTTCCTACAGCTCATCAGGAGGGCTGATGACACTAGCTTTGCCTGTGTGTGCTCACTTAGCCGAGTGTTGTGGGGCCCATTGCAGTTGGTGATCATTGTGCTGTGAGAATGTTTGCCATGCAGTGAGGCCTTGGACCTGTTTGGTGGAGATGCTACAGACATGCTGGAGGGAAAAGTGTTGAGGTTGAATGTCCCTGCTGTACGTTGCTCTGGCCACACTACCCTGGTCATAGTGGCAGCCAGAGTGCAATGTGCATTGCTCTTGTTGCAGCAGCTGCATCTCTGCCAAGCCACTCACCTTTCTCTCTGCAGCTGTGTTGTAAAGACAGCTCAGTGTAAAGAGGCTCTTGGGGTCTTGACAGTGGTTCAGGCAGAGCTGAGCTGGCCTGAGAGGTGCTCTTTTTGGGACAATGAGCTGTAGGTCTCCTCTGTTTTCCAAAAGCACCAGCATTGTTTGACATTTTGTATCTACCATTCGCTTTGCTTTCAAACTGTAACAGGGAGAATATCTGAGAGATGGGGCAAGGTCCTGTGGGACCTGAGGGATGCCCATGTTCTCTGTTAGAGAACATGAACGTGTAGAAAAGCAAGAAGAGAGTGGCCTCTGTGCCTGCCAGTGCATTGTTGCCATTGTCTCTGGAACATCCACTTGCACTTCTCGGCACAGTCCGCAGCCTGAGCAGCCTGCGCGGGAAGGGATAGTGCTGAAGGGTCAGCCTGCCCCCAGATCTGCCTGGCGGGAATGCGTCACGGTGGGGCTGCCCGAGGGCAGGGGCTGGCAGCGAGGCACCGCCCGTGTCCCCGCACCGAGTTCCCGGCGATGTCTCCTGTGTGAATGCTGCGGTGGCAGGGTCGGGCTGCAGAGGCTGCTGCGATGGGGAGAGGCAGCTGGGTTAAGGTAGAGGAAGGCAAGGCATGCCTCTGGTAATTGCAGCGCTTAGTAATATTAATTATGGATCCTACTTAATAACGGCTGACGATTGCCAGCGGCCCCGGCCGGGCGGGCCGGTGCTGCCGCCTGCTGGCGGCCCCTCAGCAGCGCCCGGCAGCTCCTCTTCTCTGCTCCCGCAGGCTGTAATGTAGCAGATCCTGCGATGTCCGCGGCCCCACAGCTTGGCCCAGGGTCCAACCCGCTGCCTAACCTGAGCGAGAGCAGCGCTTCCGGCGTGCCCCATGGTGCTGCCCCTGCCTTGCGGGCAGAGGCTGCAGGAGGCGGAGGCGGCGGAACAGGGAAGCAGCCTTCACAGTTTGTTTACGTCTTTACAACGCAGCTTGCTAACACGTAAGCGGTAAACCCTACACCTCCTCCACTGGTATTGGCTGGCCTTGCCACACCTGGCCGGCCTTGTCACACCTGCCTGCCGCATGCAGCCCTTGAGCACAAGAGAGCTGGAGAAATCTGTGTCTCTCTGCTTGCACAGAGTGGGAAACCTCTGGGGTTTGTGAGGTATGCTGGTAGTTGTTGCAGGTGGACAAACTGGAACTTAAATGCCCGCTTCCTACCAGTGAGGCCTCGCTCTGCACTCTGTTTCACTCAGAGCCCATTTTGTCGCATCCAACAAAATGATTCTCCCAAAGCAGTGTGGGCTGCTGGTCTGATTTGAAAGTATCTAAGGGGTGGGTGTGACAGGGAGTGTAATATAACACATGGTATTCTCCACACAATTCCTCTCTTCTGCCCTGCATTGTCTTAGCCATAGAGTCTTAGAAGTCAGTTTAGTCTGTTTAGCCTAGTTTTAGAGCTCTGCTGTATCACAGGTTCAGTGTGGGAGATTCCAATGCATCTTGGTGACAACCACCTTAGGGCAGCAGGCACAAAGCAAAGCCTGTCACCGGATGTGGGAAGAGGGAAATTGAACAGCAAGTGATCGTCTGTTGGAGATCCTCACTGGAGGCTGTGCAGGACATATGCAAGGACTCTGAGAACATTCCCCGTTCTTGGTTACTTCTAGGGATTTCTTTCTTCCTGTAGAACTGAAGAACGGAGGTGGCAGCTGGGGCCTTGGATGGGTAGGATGGGGCGCAGTGCCTGTTCTCAAGTGATTTGTGCTCTCTCCCCAGAGCTGCAGAAGCTGTCCTGCAGGGCCGAGCTGACTCCATTCTGGCCTACCATCAACAGAATGTCCCGCGGGCAAAGCTAGACCAGGTATACCACCTGTGAAGCAATCGCTCCTGTTGTCACATGCTGACGACTATTACCCTTCCAGTCTGATGTGTTCATTCTCCCCCACCCCCTGGCTCAGCTGTGAAAGAAGGGGTTGCCAGAATGCCCTTTCAGTGGGGTGGGAAGCTGCTTTGCTGCAAAATCTCTTTGGCACAAGTCCTTGCTGTTGTCAGCTGTGACAAGTTTGGGATGCGGCGTGGCATGTTCCCCCACAGCCACGTGTGCAGCGTACCTGCTTGTGTGTTCCTAGATCATGTAGTAGTTACCTACATTTTTTTTCCTGCAAGAAATGAAGGTGTACTGCCATGAGGCTTCATTTTGGGACAGAGAGGTCTCCTGCAGGGTGCAAGGAAGAATACCTTCCTGGGATCTTTCCCTGCTCAACTTTCTTCCCCTTTTCTCTGCCAGGCACCACCTGCTCCTAAAGTGCTGGGCGTTGCTGAGCCACTTCCAATGAACCCTCCTGCTGCCAATACTCCACAGTCCCAGCCACTGGCTCCTCAAGCAAGTCAACCGCAGCCACAGCCTCCCCCACCACAGCCTCCAGCCCCACCACCTCAGGCCATCAGTCAAACACCTTTGCCTGCACCCAGCAGCCTGCCTCAGGAAGGGACAAGTGAAGATGGCCGGAGAGATCTGACTCCCAACTCTTTGGGGAACAATAGCAGCAACAACCAGCCTGGAAATAACCATCCAAATACGCCCACTGCATCTGCCAGCACTATGCAGCCTGGGCAAGTGGACTCCTCTGCCACACCCAGCTCCAGCCTCCTTGGAGAGGGCCCAGGGATGCCGGGGAATGGGCAGGCAAGCCTGGGCCCCAGGAACACCATGAACTCAGAAGGGCTCTCAAAGGAGCAGCTGGAGCACCGAGAGCGTTCTCTGCAGACCCTGAGAGACATTGAGCGTCTGCTGCTGCGCAGCGGGGAGGCCGAGCCCTTCCTCAAATCCAGCCAAAATGCAGCTGAGGGGGGCACTGCCCCTCAGGCACAGGCTGCCCCTGCCCAGCCCCCCGCGCCCCCTGCCAGCATCAAGAAGTATGAAGAGCCTCTGCAGTCCATGATCTCCCAGACCCAGAGCCTTGGTGGGCCCAGCCTGGAACATGAGGTGCCTCACCACCCTGGTGCTGACATGGGCCAGCAGATGAACATGATGATGCAGCGGCTGAACCAGGACAGCCTGACACCAGAGCAAGTGGCCTGGAGGAAGTTGCAGGAAGAGTACTACGAGGAAAAGCGACGGAAAGAGGAGCAGATCAGCATCCATGGCCGGCCCATGCAGGAGATCATGATCCCTCAGTCAATGGGGAGCATGATGATGCGTGGGCCTCCACCACCCTACCACAGCAAGCCTGGAGAGCAGTGGCCACCAGGGATGGGCAGCCAGCTGCGGGGACCCATAGATGTGCAGGACCCTCTGCAGCTGCGGGGAGGGCCACCCTTCCCTGGCCCACGGTTCCCTGGGAATCAAATGCAGAGAGTCTCTGGCTTTGGAGGGATGCAGAACATGCCCTTGGATGCTCTTGGGCCCATGAATGCCATGCAGAGGCCAGTCAGGCCCAGCATGGGATGGAGCGATGATATGTCTCCTATGGGAGGCCCTGGGAACTTTCCACAAGGCACCTTGCCCTACCCACCAGGGCAAGGAGACCCAGAAAGGTTTATGAATCCCCGTGCCAGAGAGGAGATTCTGCGGCATCAGCTCATGGAGAAACGCCCAGTGGCAATGCAGAGACCTGTGGGAATATCCAACAACTCCATGAGCCAGGGCATGGAAATGGAGAGGATGATGCAGGCTCACAGGCAGATGGATCCATCCATGTTTGCTGGGCAGATAACGGGTGAGACCCTGAGCAGTGCCCCAATGGGAATGGATTTTGCAGGCACTCGGGGGATGCTGAGCCCTCCTATGAGTCAGTCAGGCCTTCGGGACATGGACACACCCATGGGCCCTGGCAACCTCAACATGAACATGAATGTCAATATGAACATGAACATGAACCTCAATGTCCAGATGACCCCACAGCAGCAGATGATGATGTCCCAGAAGATGAGGGGCCCTGAAATGATGACCCACCAGGGCATGAACCCTGAGGAGCTGGCCAGGGTTAGGGCTCAGAATGGCAATGGCAGTGCAATACTAACGGGACCCCAGAAAATGATGATTCCCTCACAGTTCCCCAACCAAGGACAGCAAGGCTTCTCGACAGGGCAAGGGTCTTATCCCAGCCTGCCCCAGGAGATGGGCAGTGGCTCAGACATGTTTAGCCCTGAGCAGGGCACCATGCCTGTTGGGAGCATCAGTGGCACCACCAGACTCAGCCACATTCCTCTGCCTCCAGTCTCCAATCCCACTCCCACACCAGGGGGAAACCTGGCCAACATGCACCCAGCACCTTCCCGGGGGCTGGGCCGCCGGCCCTCTGACCTCACCATCAACATCAACCAGATGAATTCCCCCAGTATGGGTCACCTCAAGTCTCCCACCCTTAGCCAGGTGCATTCGCCACTGGTCACCTCCCCATCTGCCAGTCTCAAGTCCCCACAGACACCCTCGCAGATGATCAGCATGCCACCTTCAAACCAGTCTGGACCCCTCAAGTCCCCCCAGGTGATGAGTTCTTCCCTCAACGTCCGGTCTCCAACTGGCTCACCAAGCCGCCTGAAGTCCCCTTCTATGGCTGTTTCTTCCCCTGGTTGGGTGCCATCACCCAAAGCCACCATGCCCAGCCCAGGAGTCAACCAGAGCAAGCAGACTCTCAACATGAACTCATCTGCTTCCATCGGAGCTCTGGAGCAGGGTATGCTGGGTGTCTTGTATGCAAGTGCATGTCTGTGCTTAGTTTTGATGAGTGTGTGGACAGGGTTTCTCTCCAGCCCACAAGCTCTCTCTGAAACAGGAAGACATGTGTTCCTGTGCCTGGCTTTGCATCTCGCAGAGCAAGTATGTTTTCCCAGGAGTCCAAACAGGGCCTTTTCAGGTAGACCTGTGACACATGCAGCAAATGCTGTGTCTGTGCTGGGCAGTCAGGGGCAGGTTTCAGTGGAAGTCTGTCACTGCTCTGGAGCAGGGTCTCTGCATGAGCCTTCTCAGAGTCCAGAGAGTGCGGCACTGTGCCAGCTCTGTGCTTTGCAGCCTCCTCTGGTCGTAGTGACCAGAGGCCAGGGTTGCTCTTTGGTGGGAGCAAGCCATTGCATGTGGACCATACTAAGTTCATCTCTCTCATTCTTGCAGGTTCTCTCCCTTCTGGGCCTCGGAGCAGCTCTTCTGCACCAGCCAGCAACACCTCTAGCACCATGAATCCAAACATGCCTTTTACTTCCTCTCCAGATCCATCCCCTTCCCAGAACCCCCTCTCACTGATGATGTCCCAGATGTCCAAGTATGCCATGCCCAGCTCCACACCACTTTACCACAATGCCATCAAAACCATCGCCACCTCTGATGATGAGCTGCTGCCAGACAGGCCTATGCTCCCACCTGGAAGTATGTCAGGTATCTACTTCTGGAGGTGGGCTTGCAAGGGGTCAGACTGTCGTGTGGCTGCCAGTGAACCTGAGGCAGCAGGTGGAGAAAGTATTAGGAACTCTGATCTCCCCACGACTGCCATGTCAACTAGCATAAATTTCCCCTTGTTTGTAACAATCTGTGCAATTCCCTGCCCTCTGCCCAGCCTGTTCATCAGCTTTTGGCTTGGGTGGAAGGACGTGAGCTGGTCTGGCTTGAGGAGTCCTCCTTCCACAAGACCTGGAAGTTTTTTACCTTTACCCAAATACATGGAGATGCATTTAGCCCGAGTTTTCATGGCTCCCGGAGTTTTGTCAGGTTCAGAACTTGCAGGCAGAGGTCTCCTGCTTAGAGCCCTTGTGTTCCTGTGCAGTGGGACAGGGATGCTCTGAATGGGGCTTGGGAATCTGGTGTTTTGAGTGGAGCCCAAGTGCCTGCACAGGCAAGGCTGTGTTGTAGCACAGTTGTGATTTCAGTAGGCCAGATACGCTCCACTAACTGGTGGCACTGGTGAGGACATTTAGGCAAATGAGTGTTTTTGGTCACGTGGTGACCAGCTCAAAGGGGAATTCCAACATGCTCTACCACTTGATTTAGGGGTCTAAAGCCGTCTGATAAATATTTTTGTCGGTTTTGGAAATGAAAAACTAACTTTTTGACTCTTTCACTGCTGAGCAGTCACTTAAGTTGACCGCAAGGCATGCAAATGCATTGGCTGCCTCCGCAAGCACTGATGGCTGCTCTGCTTTTCTGATGGGCACAGACTTTCCCACCCAGACAGCACCCGTGCCGGGCCGCTGACTCTTCTGCTTTTTTCCTCCTTAGCACCCAAGGTTGTGTGGTCACTGGAGCTTGCTGGGTGGCAAACCCTGTGGCAGGCAGGGGTGAAGGGTCACTCCTTGCTGCCTTTCAGGTAGCTGAGAGCCCTGATGAGACCATGATGTAAGGCACACACAGAGCCAGTCAGGACTCTAAAATCAGGGGAATGTAAGAAGTTACAAATCTGGCATGGGACTGGATGAAGCTGGAAGAGCCCTCTGGTGCTTGTGGGCTTGAGGAGCTGGAGTTGGAGACGGTTCTTCCTCATGTTGGTGCTTTGTAAGCCCATCTTGGGGCTGCTTTCTGAGCATCATGCTCCATGCTCAGGGCATTCTGAGCAGAACTGCTTGGCAGGCTCTCAGGATGTGGATTTTACAGCCCTGAAAGGTCTGTAGGAGGGGTTAACTCTTCTCTCTTTTTCCTGTCCTTAGGCGTGACGGGGAATCAGCCAAATCAACTGCACTTGAACTCTGTGGGGCCTGGATCCGCTCAGAGCCCCATGGGAATGAACCTGCCTGGTCAGCAGCCCCTTTCCCACGAACCACCCCCCACCTCTATGATGTCCTCCCCAAACCCTCTGGGCTCCAACATTCCTATGCATCCAAGTGGGCCAGGGGCGGGTGTGCCCCCCCAGAACCCCATGATGCTGCCCCCAGGTCCCCAGGACTCATTGAACCAGCAGTGTGGCCCCGTGCCCAACAGTTCACAGATGATTCCTTCCAACCAGCTCGTGTTCCCCCGCATGCAGCAGCCCCACAATGCCATGCCATCTCCTGCCGGCGGCATGCCCATGGCCCCCAGTGCAGGAGGTGGCCCTGGGATGCAGCAGCATTACCCGCCAGGGATGCCCTTGCCACCTGAGGACCTTGCCTCCCAGCAGCCTGGCCAGATGCCCCCTCAGCAGCACATGATGGGCAAGAACATCCCTCCTCGGATTGGTGACCCCTACCCACCCGTGCTTCCTGGGGTGGCGTCGGTGCTGAACGACCCCGAGCTCAGCGAGGTCATCCGCCCCACGCCCACGGGGATCCCGGAGTTTGACCTATCCAGGATCATCCCATCGGAGAAGCCAAGCAGCACCTTGCAGTATTTCCCCAAGAGCGACAGCCAGGCACCCAAATCTCAGCCTTCCAACCTCCACCTCATGAACCTGCAGAACATGATGGCTGAGCAGCCCCCCGTGCGTCCAGGTATGAATGCTCCCAGCCTCCCCGGGCAGCAGGGCGTGCAGAGGGGACTCAGCATGCCCTTGTGCCATCCTGGACAAGTGCCCATGCTGGGCAGGACAGGCATACCGCCCCAGCAAGGCATGATGGGCAATAGCATGCACCAGGGCATGATGTCTCCGCAGCAGAGCCTGATGGCCCAGCAGAATTTCATGCTGATGCAGGCCAAGCAGAGAAGCATGTCTGTGTCAGGGGAGATGTATGCCCAGACAGGACATATGGTGTCACCTCAGGGCTCTCTCATGGGCCCCCCGCCTCAGCAGAACCTCATGGTCGCACACCAGATGAGGCAGCGGAGTGTCTCCCTGGACAGCCAGATGAGTTATATCCCTGGGCCTGGGAACATGGCGAACTTGCCTTTTTAACCCTGACTGGCCCTCAGGGCTGGGGCGGGGATGGGGCTGCGCCTACAAACATTTTTAAACCTTTCTCTGGGGGCGGGTTGGGGGCCAGTGCCAGTGGAGGACACCACGTGGGATGCTTTTCATATCGGATTTGCCTCTACACAGCAAACCAGATGTGCAGTAAACTTGATGTGAATTGGGTTTCTTTTTCCTTTCTTTTTTGGGGAAGGGGAGGGTGAAGAGGCTGGGAGTGGGGCTGTTACTTTGAACCCTGAGTGGCAACCAGGGACATCCAGACCTTGTGGCAGTTTGTAAAGTTTTCACTTATGGTTTTCCTCCGTCTAGTGTTTTTCTTGCCCTTTTTTCCTCTCTCTTTTTTTTGTCCTTCCTTTTTAAGCAACCAAAATGTGCAAGAGGGTTTTTGGAACTAGCTGTAAATAGGTCGCTGGGAAAGGCAAAATTTGTGCTGGTTTTTAATTGTCCTGTATTTCCGTGTTTTAATAGAAGCCTCAAAACATGTTTTAAAAAACAGAAAGAAAAAAACATGCTAAAGGCAACAGTGTACAAGGATTGAAATCTCTCCATGGAGGAGGCAGGAGGATCCCCAGGGTGCACAGGGTGTTGAGAGATCCCCTTGTAGAGTGACTCTGTCAGACCTGTGTTATTCACAAATCGGAATGGTTTTCCATGTGTGTGGAGAAGGGGTGGTGCAGTGTCACGCAGATCTCAGGTCCCATGGATACTATGCTGAGTACACCAATACAACCACTGACCAAGGACCATTGGGCCGGGGGAGGCCGCCAAGCTATAGCCCCAGTGAAATGCTGCTGGAGCGGTGATCATCTGACAGGGCAGAGGCCACAGTTTTAGAGGATGCAGCTGTTGCTGCTCTCTGGAGAAGCTGCTATGTTTGGGATGGGAAGGATGCTTGCCCTTCAGCTGGAGAAGCATGAAGAATCTGGGCTTCACAGATGGTAACGTGCTGGACCTGAAGGTCTTGATCAGCTCTGTCACCTCTAGTCCCTTCTCTTCCCTTCATGCTATGTCCCCTGTAGGCAAGATGTTGTGGTGGGTAGGGACAGATGGGCTTTGAGGTGAGCAAGGTGATGCATTCCAGTGCTTCCAGGAGAGGCTAGCTGGGAACCCTGATCTTCTGCAGCCTTCCTACACCTGTCTATTGCCCTTCACCACTGTGTCCTGCTTCCCTGCCATTGAATGCTTTCCCAGGTTTTCCTTGTGCTTGTCAGTCCTTCATCTGTAGAATTTTGCAGGCAGTCTTCACTCCATGATAACCTGAGTTACTGGCAGCAGCCCTGCCCTGTGGCACAGGAGAGGTCCAGCTCTTGAAGAGGACCTGTCCTTGAGTGCAATACTCTACCTCAGCGTTCAGTGTGAGCAGCATGGCTGTCCTGTGCTTCAGACGGAAGAGGCCAAGTTGAGTTGCAATCTCTCATTCCTAGGCTGGCAAAAGCATGCCATTTGGACAACTCTGGCTTTTCTGGATGCACTCCACCCTCTCCATCCTGTACTCTATAAGGTCTTCCTGCATGCAGCTCTGATGGTCTTTACCATGTTTTTTCACAGAGGGGAATGTGTCATGATGCATGCATGTTTCTGCACACATCCCAGTATCTCTGGACCTCTGTGAGGACTTGCAATTCCAGTATCCAGCGGTGAACCTGGGGCACACAATTGGAGGATTATCTCTGCAGAGCCAGGCTTAACACACTACCTCTCTTATAACAGAGCTCATCTTTCCCAACTTGCTGTTGCCAGGAGGAGAGGACTTTGGAAAGGGAGATTGCCAAGTAGTGAGTGAACAGCAACGCTTTTTATCAGGTTGCAAGCTGTTTGGAAAGGCTGGTGGGTGCTGAAATGTCAGCCCAGCAGTTGTCTTGATCCAGTCTGTGAGAAGATGGAATCATAAAGTCCAGTTAAGAATACACTGAAGCTTTGGGGCACTTTGTAGTGGTGGGTGAGAAGCATGGGTTTGGATCTGAGGAAGGATCCTGCTCTAGTCTCCTGCTTTGTAGAGGTTTGTTGTATACAATGTGAGCAAGTAACATGGATTGAAGTGGTTAAACAGGAACAATCATGAGAAGTTCTCTGCTCCTGCTGAGACAGTTAGAGCAGAAGAATAATCTTCAGCTCAGGCTTTGGACCTGACTTGTTAGCTGGTTGCATTCTTGGTCCTTTCAGTGTGTGTTTCAGGCGGGAGGACGTGGCTCAAACAGATGTAGCTCTTTCTAAGCTTGACTTGCCTGAAAGACTGTAGCTTCTCTTGGCTGCTCTTCAGGCTGTTGGCTGCTGGTAGCTTCTCAGAAACATCCAAATACCAATTATAATCCCAAACTTTGCTCATCACCTACCAGCAAGTCTTGGCTAATTTGAAGCCATACCATTTTCTATATGGAAGTTTTTTTGTCTGCCTGTAGATAGCTGTTGTTTTAGCCTGGTTGAGCTCTCCATGTGTTTGTACTTTCCCTGTTGTCCCTTTTGTCCAGCCTGACACAGAAGTTGCCTGGGCCTTGCAGTCCTCACTGTGTCAGCAGCGCATTGTCCCTGTATCAGCAGGAGCCTGCAGGCTTGTGGCACATGCTGTGCAGTGCTCAGAAGACTAGTGTTGAGCGCTCACAGGGACATGGCAGTGTGATGCTATTTCTGCCTGGCAACAGAAGGAAGACCTGTCCTTCAGTGACCAATAAGCCTTTTGACTCAGCTGCCCTGGACATAGAAGGAATCCTGATGCTAGGTCAGAGCTGAGGACTCTGGAGCAGCAGTTGGTGCTCTTCTGCAAAATCTCACTGCCCTGGAGCCAGCCCTACCCCTACCACTGTGATGGCTGAACAATGGGGAGAAGAAATGCTGCCTAACACCCCTGTGCCCTGGGCGCTGCTCCCAACCATGTCTGTAAACAGCAGTGTGGCAGGAGTTCCTTTGGAGGCTCAGTGACAGCCAGTCCTTGTTAGACTCGGGCAAGGTTTGCCATCAGCTGGTTGCCCGCTGCCGTGACCTGTGTCTAGTCTTGTGTCTTGTAGTTTATTGCTCGGCTCCTCACCTTGAGTTCTGTGTACTGACTCCACCTAATCGCAGTAGAAGGTTTGCCCATCTTTTAGCCATGACTTTGCCATGTTTTTCCAGCTCCAAAAAAGCAAATGCTAGGAAACTGCATCTTTCAGTATGTTGGATAATCACACATCTGGAATTAGCTTTCACATTGAGGTAAAGTTGACTGACCTGTTCTCTGTCATCCTATGGAGAAACTTCCCCAGTCATTTTGTACCATTATATAAATATATATATAAATATAAATATATAAATACAATATGTGAAGACATCTTATTGGTTTTTATTTGAAACAATTTTTAGGCTTGTTTTTGGGTATCTGTGCTGCCTGTAATGTATTGACCTGTTTTATAGGTGCCTTTTTATTAAAAAGACAAATTTCAAGACCTGACCCTGTGCCTGTATTTTTCCACATGATTTTCCACTGGACTGCAGCAGAAAGAGAGAGTGTGCAAGGTGCTGGAAGGTTTGTGTGGGCATCGGGGGAGCCCCTTCTCTGCAGCACTCCCAGGCAAGCATTCATTCATGCGTTCCCTTACTTGCACTCACCCATGCATGCTCCACTGCCTGCCACGGCCCTGTGATCACTTTGTGTGCGTAGCAGGATGCTCTGCTGGAACCCCAGCTCTGTCTCCTGGGAGACTTGGTTGCCCTGCAGGAAACGCAGAGCAGTGTGCTGTTGTGAGGGTCTTCGTGTTCCCATCTTTGGGGTTGCCTTCATCAGAGACCAGGGTTTCCTCTGGTTTGTCTGTTGGAGCCTTGTTTGCAGAGCACAGTCCGGGACTGGAGGTGCAGCGGCTGTGCTGTGGATGGTGGTGACATCGCCTTCCCACGCATCATCTCCCTGCTTTCTGCAGAAGCCACCTTGGAGCTCCCCTTGGCTCAATCCCCCTTCCTGGTAGCCTGGGTGGGCAGGGTGCATCTGCCTCACTTGGCAGCCGTGGCATAGGGGCTGAGCAGAGCTCCATTGGGGAGGATGAAGGTCTGCGGTGGTGGCTTTGGCAGTGTGAGTACATAGCAGGGAAGCCCACTCTGGGGCAAGGTGTCATGACAGCTATGCAACCTTTGAGGAGACAGTAAAGATTTTTGCTGAGTGGAAAGCAGAGCTTCCTATGCAGTGAAGGAAAGTTCCTCTTGCTTTCTTCTTACCCACATTCAGCAGGCTGGCTGCAGGCAGCTATGGGAGGAACAATGGCAACTCTTTGGGGAAGGTCTGCCAGCTCTGAGCCAAGCCATTCCCAGGCTGTGTGGGCCAAAAACAGGTGTAAAGGCAGTTTTCCAGTCAGGTTAGCAGCTGCTGTAAAACTGAGGCAGAAGGTGCTGCGGTTAGTGGAAGAGGCTCTGTAAAGCAGAGAGATAATGCAGGTCTGGACTGACTCTGAACACAGCAGAGCCTTCTGCAGCACTGGTGAAGGGGAATCTGAGCAAGGTGCTCCTCTAAGCTCTTCGAGCAGAGCTTGTCAGAAAGGTGCCATCTGCCCACTTGGTCCTTTCTGATGCGTCTTCTCCCTTGAATAGAGTGACACAGTGACAGACAAATGCTTACAAGCACTACACATGAGAAGACTGGTGTTTTATTCACCTGTTTATTACAGCTTACCTCAAAACTTCCTAAAGGTTTGTACACACCAGTGCAAAAAGCTATAGTAACAACAGATGTGTAGTCTGTTCACTCTCATTTGAGTGCAGATTTTCTTTTTACTTTGTGACCACTGTAAATATTTTTATTATTATTGAATACTTTATTATTTTTTTCAATAACATTTTCATATAGAAACACAGTTGTCACCATAACCTACTGGGGAGGTGTTTACAATGCTTCTGCAATGGGTTTTCTCACTGGTACAAGCGTGGAGAACACAGTTGCAGGCTTAAGAGACTTGCCCTTCTCTGCTGCATGTATGTGCCTGAACAACCACAGCTGCCATTACTTGAAAGTTTCATCTTTGAAGATGCGGTGCTGCAGGAAATGGAGGACTGCCTTATACTAGATGAGTTTTCTCCTCAAGTCACAATGTGAGATCAAGCTATTGAGATCTCTGCCTGAGTCAGGCTGAGGTAATGTGGCCCCTTCCATACTGGCTGGTCTTTTTAGCAGGGCCCTTGAGTACTGTGAAGTTCACCTGGGACTGAGCCGTCTGCTAGTGGGATGAACTTCAGAAGTGAGGTTAGCATAAAATTCCTGTTGCCACAGGAGAACTAACATTGTTTCGACATTGCTTAAAATGTGAGGTGAAGGGTAGAGGAGATTTTAAAGTGTGCATGTGAGGAGAGTGGCATTGGTATGTATGGCTCTCCTACAGTTCAGACCACAGTACTCTTTAGGAACAGAAACGTCATGGAGCAGTATTGTGGGCCCGCTGCCATGTTAAACTGTGACAAGACCTCCTAGGCAGCAGCAAGCTGTTCTGAGTCTGCTGGGGCTTCCCCACACACCAGCTTGTGGTGCAAGAATTAATGGTGGGGAAAGCTGCTGCTCTTACTTTGAAGCAAATTATCATCAAGCTGCCCTGATCTGAGCAGTTTCTGCATACTTGCAGTTCAGGGCAAGATGACCACCCAGGTCTGTCCTCTGTACATCTGGATGCAGTTAATCTCTGAAAGCCCTGTAGGTGCAGGTGGAGGAAAACTAACAGAAAGCATAGTGCAAAGCAAAATGTCACATTTCCTCTAGCCTTGCTAAAAACAAAGGAGACTTTCCCTTACTCTGGGGCAGTGGGTCTCCTTGCTCTCAGAACCCATAAATAGCCATACAACTAGCTGCCAAAAAAAAAAAATGTTATACTATCAGCTTTACAAGGCTGTGTGGTTTCTCTCCCCTGTGTGCGCTCACAAGACAGAAGCCATCTCCTCAGACAGTGTTCCTCCTTAAAGGAAAACTTTTGCATAGTCAGGCATTTGGTTCAGCAGCCGCTCACAGAAGATCATAACAGCAGTAAAACAGATCAAATGAGTGAGGAAGGATGCAACTGGTGTCAGGAAAGGAGTCTGTGACAGTCAAATCTTTCAGTCTGTGGGAGGACCTCCTGGCATGAGCTGTGTTGGGAAGATGAGGGTGTTGTGGCGGGCTGGGGGGATGTTATGCAGCAGGAGGACAATGTTGCAGTCAAAGAGTGTCCAGCACTGTACACCCATGCTATTGGATTGAGCTTTGCAGCCCCCATCAGTCCTACCTGCATCTCTCCAGTTACGATGGCCACCGAGTCCCACGGCTTCCCTTGAGCACATGTGTACCAACCTTAGCCAGTGAAATGGAGACCTGTTTACTGACATGACTCATTTACTTGGCTGCACATTTTTCCTTAACCCTGGCACCCCAGTCCTGTGCCTGGCTTTGTGCACAAGATGCCTGTAGTCCGTTTTTCAAGGGAGAGGTGGGAATGTCAGCTTCAACCCACTTGAGTGACCATCTTCATCCAGCTCCACAAGAGTGACCATCAGACATCCAGCATTCACCAACAGTTGCCAGATGGGTCTCTACAAGTTTGAGAATCAGGAAGAGCCAAGCAAGGTGTCTGATGAGATTTGGGTGTTTGGTGGCTATTGGACCTGTTTCCTGGGGAGTGAAGAAAGTTGTGGGGATGCTTGTGAAACTTGTAATTGAGACCACAGCAAGTGTGCCACTGGGAAGGAAAGACCCAGGCCAGTTCTTCCCCGCAGGCAGCCTTTCCCAGCTAGAAAGTGGAGATGGAGGTGATGTTGTCAGACTCTATCCCACTACCCTTCCTTGTCACCTCCAGGATCTCTTGCAGGGTCTCCTGGCTTATGCAGCCAAGCTCCTGCAGGATCCGGAAGAAGTCATTACGGAACTTGACCCCAATAAAAGCGTAGAGGATGGGGTTGAGGCAGCAGTGTGTGAAGCCAATGGCCTCTGTCACCATGATGGCTGTGTCCAGTTGGTCTTCCAGGAGGCAGTTCTTGGTGAAGGCTTCTAGCTTGGTAAGCGTGTTCAGGAAGATGACAATGTGGTATGGGCTCCAGCACAGGAGGAAGATGCCTGTGACCAGGATGGCCACACGGACAGCTTTTTGCCTCTGCAGGCGCTGGGACTGACACAGTGCCCGGATGATGGCCATGTAGCAGTAACACATGACCAGCAGAGGCACAAAGAAGCCCACGGTGTGGTAGAGGAAGCGAGTTGCCAGCCATGCATTGTTTCCATCAATCCCAACTTCTGGAAAATAGCAAATGCTGCGGTTGCTGTCATCTGTCCAGACTTCCATGAAGATGAGATCAGGTAAAGTCAGAAGCAAAGAGCAGAGCCAGACAGCCGTGCAGGTGAGGTGGATGGAGCGAGCTCTGCGTTTGCGGTAGGTGTGGATCGCATAGACGATGGCCAGGTAACGGTCCACTGCGATGCACCCCAGCAGCATGCTACTGCAGTAGAAATTGATCTTGTGGACAGCACTGAGTATCTTACAGAGGAACCTCCCAAATACCCACCCAGCCAGGCTCTCCACCACACTGAATGGGAAGGTGAGCAACAGTGCTAGGTTGGCGAGGGTGAGGTGGAAAAGGAAGTTTTCTGTGGTGGTACGAGACCGCTTGAACCTCTCTAAAATGACCAGGACCAGAGCATTGCCCAGAGTCCCCAACACAAACATCAGCAGATAGATGAGGGGCATGAAGACCTTTCTGAAGGGGTCTCCCTGATTGCCAACCACAGATGAGGCTGGGTTGAAGCAGAAGTAGCCCTCCAAAGAAGGGGTGGTGTTCTCAGCTTCATAGTAACCACTCAGCTCTACCTGGCTCTGGGGAACAGAGAGAGTCTTGTTAATGGAGGGGAGTTTCTCAACACAAGAACCCAGTCCCCCAGCTGCACCTGGCAGACCTAGAGCACAGCACCCCCATGTCCTGCAGCCCACCTACATCAGGAGGAGATGCTGTCTGCAGTGTGATGAGGCCCCTCTTGTGTTGAAGGCTCCTCTACTGCCAAGAGGTGCAGCAGCAGGTGGAGAGGGTTTTCTCCATCTGCGACAGTGAGGGCTGCTCAGTCTATAATCTTTAACTGGAGTATTTGGGGATGTTTTGGTGTCCAATCAGATGATCAGTTTCATCTTCTGGTTCTTGCCAAGTTAGCTGCTGGCGAATTTTGCTTTCTCACATAGAATGGAACCCTCCTCTACCAGCTTTCCTGATTTTTCCCACCCACTTCTTATATGGACCACTCCTGTCCTGCCTGCCTGCTGTCAGGTATGAAGGTAGTAGGATTCACCACACAGCACATCTGTACCTCAGATTCTGTGCAGTGAACCTGTCCCCTTCTTCTCATCCTCAGAGGCCTGAGAGCTGCCTATGAAAGTGCAAGGTGAGGTGGGGTCAGCAGCAGCTGGCCTTTGAGATCACTTCCCACACACTTGGAGGAAGGTGTGGGGCAAGTGTTCAACACAATGGGAGGAAAGCCTCTGAGGTGCTGTGGTGCCATAGCTACAGGAATAGATGATGGAGAGAGAAATCTGTTGATAAAGCTTTCAGTTCTGAATTAATTGCAGTCAGAGCAGGAAAGGGAAGGGAAAACACTGCTCAGACCCCAGACTGATATCCAGTAAGGGAAGTGCAATAGAGCTGCTGCAGATGTGACTTGCCCTTGGTTTGCTGTATCTTCTTGACCAGCCTGCATTCAAGCTGAAGCTGAGGGCAAGTCTTGAGTTGTTGTTGGGCTCCCTGGATGGTGGTCATGCTTCAGCTGGCCTTGCACAACAGAGAGCAGTGGAGGAGGCTTGTGGCAATATGAATATTAGTGACAACTGGGAAGAGCTCAGCAGCAGTCACCCTGAGGTCCCCCACCCACACCCTCTCTGGAGACCTATGTTGAGACTTCAGTGTTGACCACAGCGGAAGTCTCTGCTAATGCTTTCATACCTTTCACTGCCAGCTGCAGCAGTTTGCACCTGCTGCTCCTTCCCTCATCAGCTAAAGTTCCTGTCTAAAAATACCAGCCCTGCTTTACACAGTTTTAGACCTGATTTTGGGGGTTTTTGCTCACCCAAGGGGCTACAAATCTACAAAGCTGTGACCAGCCTGGAGTTGTACCTAGCTAAGGAAGGGTGATTTATGTTTCTTCTCTCTCAGGCAGCTTTCCCTGGGTAATGCACTGGGTGAATCTGCACATGACTGTGGGGGCTTATCTAAACTCCTCTGCTACTGAAACTACCTGCATGTTTCCAGAAGAAGCCTGGGCATGCTGGTGGGGCATAAGTCTATGGGGAATTACCAAACTTGTAGAGCAGACAGCAGGCACAGGCAGTCTCCAAGCAGTGGATGGTAGGAAGGTCCACTCCCCAGGAGCACTCCAGTTTCCCAAGGGAATGAGTCCTTGGGAAAAGTGTGGAATAACCCTGCCCAGCTCTTGCTAATCTAACTGTGGGGCTGCAAGCCTTTGGTGAGAAGCATTTTGTATTACTAAAGAACTTTTTATTTTTCTGATTTAGGGTATGATTTTGGGCCTTAAGAAATCCCTCCCAGTTATTTTCCTACCCAGCTTGAAAGTATTTCCTGCCTATTCTGGACCTGGACCTTTCAAGAGGAGTTAACAACACACAGAGAAATCTGTGATGTGTTGGTCAAGGCCAGATCCTTGAACCTCTCTGATTAAAAGCAAAACAACCTAAAAACCTTTGCATTTTGATGTAGTGACCAAACCAGGCTGCTCAGGCAGTGCAGGTGACTGTGCTGAAAACCCCAAACAGATGGTATGTTGGAATGGGAAATTTCACTGGGGAGAGATTGGACTTTGAAGGGAAGAAGCTTTGAAGGGAAAAATGAAATTATGGAAAATTATGGGTTTGCTGGCTGGAGTGTCAGTCCTCCCTTGGAGCCACGCCAGCACCATTGATGGCAGTGGATGGGCAGCTTGGCTGGTGTTCAAGTTTCCAGCATCACCTGGTATTTGGAGCCGGAAGTGCAGAGGCTGAGTGCCACTATCAGACACCATCTGATTGCTGATGCGGAGCAGGTAAAGAGGGCTGTTACTGCAAACCACTCATTGTGGGTAGGGGAAGCTTATGGGGAGCTGTGTTTGAATCGTTCTTGCCTGCACCTCTAAGCAGAGCAACACAGAGGGGTAGGAGTGGACAGAGATGAGTTGAAGACAAATAAAAGAGGATGAAAAATCAGAGTCTGGGCTGAGACAGGAAGGGCAGGGACCAGAGCTGCAGGAGATGCACTGAATATGTCAAGCTGAGGGTTCTGGGAACTCTGCTGCAATTCTAGGACTGGAAGTGGGTGGCTGCCTGATCAGGGATGGGATAAGTCAACAGTGAGCATGCAGAGGGACCTTTGTACAGATCTTCTGCATGAAGGGTAGGGCTTGCTCTTCCCTGTGTGTAGGAAAAAAGGAGGAACAGAACATTTGGTAACAATTGAATCCAACATTTCTCTTTTTTGGAATAACTAATCCTGAGGTCTGCTGCAGGGAGCCACTGTAGTAAAAAAATAAATTCTGAGATGCAATATTTGAAAACGAGGGTAATGATAATGCTGCTGTGTCCTTGCCATTGGATAGCACAGCATACTCTATAAGGTGCAGCTGCTCTTTTTCACTTGTAAAGGCTGGGAAGAGAACTATGAAGTAGAATACCTAGTGTCATCACTCCCTGTTAGAAGTAGTACTTGCAATTTATCTTTCAGTCTTTAAAAGTCCTCTCTTGTAAATATGCTGCACGTTCCCCTTTCAGCAGAGTGTATGTGGAGCCTGTACGTATGTGGAGCCATATGTATGGAAGCTGGTACATGAAGCAAGCAAGCAGGGTGGTCATACCAAGGGTTTTCACACACGGAGAGAGAAGACTGGGTTTGCTTGGGTATTCCAGTTGTCAAAGGAGACCAAATAAGGTGTACAGAGCTTTGCACACTGTGTACACAGTCATTTGTACCACTGAAGCCTGGTGCAAAAGGTGCCTGGCTCAGAATAAGTGTTTTATGCCCACATTGGTCTAATGGCTGTGCAGACAGCAGGGCAGCAGGCAGCAGAAGCTGGGAGAGGCCAGCAGCACAGGATAGGACTGCTGGAGCCTCACTCTCCAGGTGAGTCACCTGGCCCTTTGCAGAGCCTCTGGTCTGTGTCCTCATGCAAGGACAGTACTTGGGCTTAGTGCTTGCCAGTACAGGTCCTGGTAGCTTTCCCCAGCAGAATACCCACCATCCCTGGATCCCAGTGGCTGTAGCCACACTACACCAGCTCTCTGCAAGCAACAGCTTGTGGTCAAGTGTGGACTTAAGGGATGGAAGGACTGATTACGCTGGCATAAGAAACGGCTCAAGCTCTGCCTCTGCCAACAGGAGGGTTAGAAGATGGATGGCCAGAAACCTGGCCTTTCAGCCCACCCCAGCTCTGCCATCCCTGTTATCAAGCAAAGCCAGGCCCAACTCACCAAGTCATAGGTCTCTGAGGAGTAGCTGACAGGCCCCATGGTTTGAGGGGCACGATCCGTCTCTCCTCCGGATATTGCAACAAAGTTCTTTTCTGGGGTGGAGTTAATAATTTAAGTGAGCGGAGAGGGGCACAGAATGTAACAATAGAGTATTTGCAAGGCAAATGAGCTCCAGGCATAGAGTGACCTGATTGATGTAAAGATTAACATCTAGCTTTATCATCTTTTTACTAGTGCTGTAAGTTGACTTTTAAAGTATAGTTTTAAGAGTCCATATTCCTTTGGTCTATACCGCAGAAGATCCAGAACATCTTTAGGTCTTCCCTGGAAACCTTCTTGCCCACAGCTGTCCTTGTTACAGGTGGTCTGAAAGGCTTTGAAAAGGTCTGTGCTAAGGACTACCCTTACCAGAAACCTCCTGGATCCAGGTACTGCTCTGGAGCTGTGCAGGACTTTGAAGCATGGGTATGGTCTGTATGATCATCACCCTCTGCCTTGGGGTCCTCCTGGCTGCTTTAACCCCATTGACTTGTAGTTGTCTTCTGCTCCTTCTGCTGCTTCACCCGTTGTCTGGGCTTGGGGAAGTGTGAGGTGGCTTGCACAGGAAAGCAAGACCTTGGCAGCCACACTGGAAGTCTAGAGCAGGGCTAGCAGGGGCTGGGCAGCTTGACTTCACAAGGGTAACAAAGGAGAATCAGGATGGAAAATCAAGATTTTCTCTGCTCAGGGAAACGGGCATTTTGTTCAGTGATGTCACAGCAACAGACTCACAGTGAGAATGCCCCGGTCTGAGTCAGCATTGCAGCTGGCATTTTGGCAGAAAGCTTTTTCTGTGGGAGCGGCTGAGGTGGTTTGACAAGCAGAGTTCTTGTCCTCCTCTTGTCTAGATACAGCTGCATTAAGGCCTCTCTACCAGCAAGGACTCTGGTGGGACTTTGGACTGGTGAAGGAGGAGGTGGTGTTATTCTCGTGAGCACTGCTGGATTACAATCACTCGTGTTTCTTAGATCCCGACTTGTTGGGCACCTGCTGCCCCGAGGATGTCGCTGTCCTCCCCTGCCGTGAGGACTTCTGTGTGCACCTGCACGTGCTCATCAGCTTCTGGGCAGTTTCACCTAAGAGGATGGAGAGCAGCATAACCGGAGGGAGGCCGTAGGGAGCTCCCACTGTGCCTCACTGACAGGGAGAACACAGATTGAGCAAGCCCTGTGCTGCAAGAGCTGAGGGGTAAGGGGAGTGGGAGATCACTGGGCCGGGGAGACAGAGAGGTCAGGAAGGATGTTCTCAACCAGCTACAACTGGAGGGCGGAGCTTGTGCTTTTGCTGCTGAGGGTGGAAAAACAACCACCTAGAGACAGATGTAGATGTGAGGAACCAGATAAAACCAGGAATGTTCTTGTCCTTTTGCATAATTTTGAAGTCTAAAAAGACATCTTTAAAGATAAAAGCATGAGCACGGCCAGAACATAGAACCCTGTATTTTGGAAAAAACATTTGAAGAAAAAATTGTCTGCAAAGCAGTAACTACTAAGATTACACTCCCATTGTGTCTCGCTTTGTCAAAATCCACGTCTAAGTAACACCGGTCTAAAAACAAATGCCAATCCCTAGCCTGCCACGATCGGCGGTTACGACTCCAACAGCTGTGGCTCCGTCCCTCATTCTTACGTTTGTGTTGTTTTAATGGGCACATAGCGAAGCCCCGTTACGTTTCCAGGTTCAAAGGGGAGGGGCAGGTCTGAGGGAGCAGCGCGAGCGGCCAGCGCGGTCACGTGGGCACCGCACGCTGGGCGGGACGTGATGTGACGTGACGCGACGCGTGGCGCACGCCGAACGTATGTACGTACGTGCGTGCGTGCGTACGTTTGCGTGTGGGGCGGGCCGGTGCCGCCCGCCGGGAGGGGGAGGGCGCACAGGAGGAAGGAGGAAGCCGCCATCTTGGAGTGTCGAGTCGCCATAACAAGGCACCGGGGGAGCGAGAGGATTTTGTACCTGGGCGAGGGGGAGCGCGGCTGGTGGCGGTGAGGACGGGCCAGGGCGGGCATGGCTCCGTGGGAGCAGGGCGAGGGGGCCGCTGCTGGCGGGCCGCGCCTCGCGGCCTGCGGCGAGAGCGCGGGCCTGAGCGGGGCCTGGCGGCGCCGCGGGCGGGGCGGGGACGGCCGGATCGGGCCTGGGCGCACCGGGAGCGGCGGGACCGAGGGACCGCGGGGGCGGGGCGGGCCCCGAGCAGCTCTCGCTCCCCGCCGGCTCAGGCGGCAAACTGCGGTCGCGCCATTGTTCGCGGGCGGGAGGTGTTGGTGTGGCGCAGCTGCGATCGGCGGGCGGCGCCGGGCCCACCGCTCTGCCCCGGGGCTCCGCACTGCGGCCCGGGCTCACCGGGCACACTGAGCACCTCGAGGGCTCCCTTTGTGCCGGGCCCAGCCGACGGAAAGGAAAAGGTCCGGAGCTGATGCCCCGGCCGCCCGCCCGCGCCCGGAGAGCAGAGATATGCGATGGAGGCCTTTTTTTTTCAGTCCGCTGGTTTGCGAAATGGTGGCGTCTCTTTTGTCGGAACAGGGAGATTTTTTTCGGTTCCGTGAGACTTGCGGGGTTTTTTTTAAACTTGTGTTCTTCTAAAGGATAATTACGAGCGTGTGGGCATAAGGGACAGAGGTTTCATTTCCTACGTTGTTGGCGAACTTCTCGGCGTTAGCAGTCGGGTCTCATTGGCGTCTCTGGCTAACTTCGTAACTCCTCAGGTTTTTACGAAGTTAATGGGCAAGAGAAATACCTTTTCGAAGATGCCTTGAAAGTTAACTAGCAGAAAATCCTAGTATCGCAAACTTTAAAATTTTGCTGGAAGCCAGCACTGACACACCTTAAAACAGCTGAGAAGTCTGAATTCCTTTTCCACTCTCTTGAAATGCCCTCTTCAATGTGCCTTTTTATTCACTGGGACAACATGCGTTTTGTTGTGAATGCCGGGGTTAGGAAGCAGTAGTCTTCTGGTCTTCCCTTTGTGTTTTCCCAAGATGTGGATGCTCAAGGCGAGCCAAAAGATTTTGTTTCAACATTTTGGACTAGGGATTGAACTAGGGACTAGGGACTTTTTGTCTCCCTGGTACCATTGTAAGGAGTCTTTAGCTTTGATCCATGCTTGCTTTATGTAAGGGGCAGACTTTGTATTGTCTTTCCACAGTTTTGCAACCTTTTTGTTACATACAGAGTCAATATTAAGTCATGTGTATGAAATGGTATCTTCCAAGAACCACATAAGTTGTCGCTGACAGCAGGAAGGTAAGATCACAAGCAGGAAGCTCCCTGACCAGCAGTGTTACTGCCTCAGTTCAAGCTCAGTCACTCCGACTCAAAGAGGCAGCTGCTCTCAATTCAGCATAATGGTGTTTCATCCCTCTTCTGAATAGCCTTAAATCAATACCCGGTTGAAAACTGGGGGTAAGTTGGTTGAGCTAGCATTTTGGGTTGGAGGAGTGTAAGCTGTTGTTTTGGGTTTACATAATCTATATTTCCCATTCAAACCAAACAGGGCAATCAGTGTAATGTAAGGGTTTTTCAGTTCTAACTGAAATGTCCACTCCCTGTGGTAGTCTTGCTTCTTGTCACAAACTTATGCATAATATTTTTCATGTTTTTGGGCTGGTTGGCTGCATCCTGGAAGTGGGGGAATTGAAGAGCCGTCAAAGCAATTGATACACTTAATGGTTACTTTATGTGAGGGGATAGGTAGTGGAAGGTCGCTGAAAGTACAACTATTAGGGAAGTTTCCTTTGGTGTCTAAAGATGTTAGGCAACACTTTCTAGAAGGGCAAAAAAAAGTTTGATGCCTGTCTTTATAATTATCACTGAGGAAACAAAAAAGCAAGTGCTGTTGTTGCACGCTGCCTGGGAAGAAATTTTTCTAAAATACAAGAGTACACTGATGTGATTTGCATAGACAAAAATCCACATGCTAATTCTTATTGTCTGCTTCTCTTTCAGATTGAAGCAAGTGAATTGTGATATAACTGAACTTCAATAGAGGGCTTTTTTTAAAAAAAAGTTGTTCCACAGTGCATCAGAGCAAGTTACTGCTTTACTTTTGAGTGACTTACAGGTGCTTGCCTGCATTGCAATAAAGGACTCATATATTGAGCAAGACTTATTTATCTCTTCATTTTGGAGAGTCTAATAAACTGTTATTACAGTTTCTGTACTGACTTTCAAAGTTTTGAAGTCTAAAAAGACATCTTTAAAGATAAAAGCATGAGCACGGCCAGAACAGAGAACCCTGTTATAATGGGTCTATCCAGTCAGAATGGGCAGTTGAGAGGCCCTGTAAAACCCAGCGGGGGCCCAGGAGGTGGAGGCACACAAACTCAGCAACAGATGAACCAGCTGAAAAATGCCAACACAATCAATAATGGCACTCAACAGCAAGCACAGAGTATGACCACCGCTATTAAGTAAGTATTTGTATTGGCTGCTGTGAAAGGAATGTTTAAAAGTTATGTATGGGAAAGCATTCTTGGATTCCCCCTTGGAAAATGCTGTCTTCTGTTATTTTGTCGCATGGGTGGTTAGAACTGTCCTGTCATGTACGTTACGAAAAAGCTGTATTTCCATGTGCAAGCTTCTCTCCAACAGTTACTATTGTGAAAATCCAATTTGATGCTGTGCTTTTCTGAGTGTGAGCCACTGTCAGAGGTAGCCTAGCTTTACGATCCTGTGTTTTTTGCTTGTTGGAAGTGGTGCAAGAGGGAAGTATAGGAGTGAAAAGGAACTGAACTGGCATTTAAGACTGAGAAGGAAATGCCACCTGGTCTCAGTCTAATTGTTTACACCTTTCAGTTTGTTGCAGTTCTTTCCCGTGGTGAGAAATGCTTTAAAGTCATTTATCTTTTGTCACTGATCTGAAATAGTAGTACCTGATCTTCTCATTGTAATGCTCTGGCTTTAATTTATCAAAGGCTGAGCTGAGAGGGTGCAGTCCCACTGTGATATCCTGCTCCCCATTCAGCTAGTTTGGGAAGTGTGCTGGTTGGAATTTCTAAAAGGTGTGA